CGTTGCCAAAAAATGAGGAAATTAAGACAGATCACTTTCATCACTTTCCTTCAGCGACACCCTAAATATAGGCAACGAAATGCAGAATAATATGAAAATATTCTAATTGAGCCTATCAACTATATTAATCTGAAGTATGCATCGCTACATAAGATTGAATGCATTCCAAACCCTTGTTAATAACAAAAACAAAAAGAAAAATTACTACTGACCGCTTTATAGAGGTTCTTTAAGTCACACCCTAAATGTWGGCAACGAATTGCAGTTTAACAAACAAATATTCAAAAACGTTGCTTATATCCAGGTTCCTAATATCAACACTTCTAGGTACCAGTCCATTTGTTTTATTGCCTTTTACTCGTGAAGGGATTGGTCTGGATTTAGTTAAAATCATGGAAGAAATTAATTTTGGTCACTTTTTAGAGATCTTCTTTAAGCCCGACCCTAAATGTAGGCAACGAATTGCAGAAMAAAAAAAGAAAATACTCAGACAGGTCGCCTTTGTACATCCTGATCCCTATCAYAATTATTACCAGATGACATTTGCCTTATTCTATGGCAAAGAGTTTGGTACTCTCCACGGGTAAATTCAAATCGGCCATATTTACGAACTGGACGAAGGAATACAGACTAGTTCTCACAGTCAATGACGTTATAACTTTGTTACGCTTACTGTCAAAGTACATAGCCACAACAAAATACTCACATTGTTAGCCGAAAGTTCTTAGAAGAACAAATAAACGTACAAGACAATCGAACGGAAAGGGCCTTTTGGATCCTGACGGAGCTTTTGGTTTTGATCAACGTCAAATTTCACAGCCGTATTAGTTTTGCAGGGATTCCAAATCCGAACATGGCAGCACAAATTCAGCTCCTTTTCATGTTGTCAAAAACAGCTTTCAAATCGACGAAGAGATGATATGTGTACAAAATTTTTTCACGGTTTTTTCAAGATTTGGCGCAKRGTGAATGTCTGCTCAGTTGTTGAGTTTCGAGGCCTAAAGCCATACTGATAAGGTATAATCAGTGTGCTGACGGGCGGTTTAATTTTTCACACAATACGCTCGATAGACACTTATATCCGACGTTGAGGATTCTTATCTCATAGTAGTTGGCGCAGTATGGAGGGTCTCCCTGTTTGTGGATTGGATAGAGCATGCTTAAATTTCAATCGAAGGGCATGCTTTCGTCTGAACATAGTTTGCAAAGAAGCTGATGAATGCTCCTTATCAGTTCTTTGTCGAAAAGCCTTTGGCTTCCATCGTTTTGCTGTTCTTCAGGCGGGTAATTTCTATTTAAACGTTTTCATATTCAGGCACTGGAACGTCTACTTCATCGTCTTTGATTAGGGATTGGTAGCGATACAAACAAATCGATCAGACGGATATTATAGCCACACTGCAGCCGAAGATAACTTTTTTTGTCGTGATGGGTATAATTATTTATTGTAATAATTTATTTATAGTCATTTTTTTAATTTTTCAATATAAGAGAGTTAAGAGTCTCTGTCACTTTTAAAACACACACATTCATACAAATATGAACACCCCTAGTATATGTCTGTATATTTAGAAACGAAACGCAAGTGCTGGATATAAATAAATCATAAAAATCTGTAAGTAAGTGGAACTTAAGCGAAACAATGAAGCGAGAAATGTGAATAAATAATAAAGAAATGATAATTTATTGTGCAAAATCAAACAATAAGACGAGTTTTAATCACAACTTAGTAGGCATGTAGKTCATTGAAGATTTCTACGTCATTAACGCAAGACGGCGGGCATAAATCTTGTGGCCGAGACAATCGAAGCGAGTTCAATGGAWACATGAGTGGCATGCAGCAAGTGGGTAAGTACGCTTATGGAAGTAGATATGTAATTTAATGGAGTATTTATATGCTGTAATTGAAGCTACATGCTGTAAGTGCCACATGTTGCAAGCCGTATATTTATGCATGCCGTTGTGACACAATTATAGCACAACTACGCATTCATATGCTTATGGTTGCGCCCCATTTGCAACGTAATGGATATTCCAAAAATTTCGTCTGCACTTTAGCGCGCGMCCATGGCGGCGGCAACRGCACGCGCCCCAAACGCCTACTTTRCCAAGCGAGCGRCAAAGTTGGCGCGCACAGAGGCGAAGTTGCCACAGTTGGTTGCATTTGATGCATGAAAATGCAAATAAGCGCGCGCATGGTAGGAAATACATATGTGTGCGCGCGTATATATGTATGTTTGTATGTGTGTGTAGTGGCATGCTGTTGCTCATACATCATCTTCAACAACTATTAAGCGCGGCATTCCAAACACTTCATAATGTAACAGGCACTCAGGGCGCTTGCGGCCTCACCCCACCCTCTAAAGCGCACTAGGGTTGCAACGCCACACAATATACCTACATACACATATACGTGTCGCATGTWGCATGTTGTTGGTTGGTAACTGCACTCAGCGTATTTGTTAAATATTTTACGCATTTGCCACCCAAAAATTGCGCCAACAYATTGCCACAGCGCTCAATGCGCGCCCACCAGCTGTTGGCTCGCCTGCCTGCGGCACTTCATCATAACGGGCGGCAGTCAGTGTCGCGCCCGCTGCCGCAAAGCAGATGTGCTAAMTGCCGCGGAATTTTATTTAATTTTATATTTATGTTTTTCCGCTTTTCTGCTTTTTTTTGCGAAATTATTTGTGGCTTTTATTTTTGTGTTTGCGCGCTGTCACTGRCAGCCGAGTTTCCCTAGCAGCGAGCGTGCGCTGCGCGTAGACCCCTCTGCGGCGCTTCGTATGATGTCTGCTGACTGTTGAGTGCTGGCTGTTGGCTGATCTCTGGGTGAGCGCGCTGAATAAATTATAATTTCTAGACCGAGACATCTTCATGTCTGCGTAAATTAAAAATGAAAAAAAATTTAATTTTTTATTGTTTTTTGATTTTATGTTTTCCACTGGTTGCTGTCGTTSTTGTAATCTGTGTAAGCGGCAGTAAATACTTGAATTATTTGCCGGCACAGTCGGAAATTTAATTTGCATGCAAGTGTGAAATAAATTTGATAAATACTTGTATATACGTACATGTATTTGTAGAGATATCCATGTATTTGTGTGTGTATGTGTATGCATGGACCTTAGAAAGTGAAGCGAATTATTTAATTAAAATTTGATTTTAATTTTAATAGAATAATGAAAAGTCAAGAGTGGAACAAACAATTTAGCAATAATAAAGGAGCAGGCAATAGAGAGGAATTTGAATTTGTTGCGCTTATTTTAGACTGAAGAAACTTATTAACTTCGTTTGAATCGAAGCTGTAATAAACTTCATAATTCTTAGATATGYATATGAACGGCCAGTTCATAAGCCAGCTATATGCTATAGTAGTCCGTTCTCAACAATATCTTCGGAGATTATGGGGTTAACATTAAAAAAGTAGTCCGTGCCGTGGCTGAAGACTATTTTTASGGGATCCATGAAGTTCAGCTATTTGCCACACTCATGGATAGACGCCAGAGTAATTTTCATACTGAACGCAGGTAAAATAAACCCAACCTACTTAAAAGTGTTAAGGGCATGTAAGTTTAACTTCTTTCCTGCTGAAAATGTTAGAGAAAATCTTGGRAGAGCATATTAAGACTGCAGCGAATTCTAAAAGCTTATTCAAGGCGCAGCACATATATACAAAGGTCGGATCAGTAGAGACTGCACTCCATACACTGGAATTKAATATCGAAATAGCTCTTACGRAATCTATTCTGAATAGTATACCGTCAATAGGTGTTGATCCCGCTTTTAGTTTGGTAAACACCGACTGCAAAATCTTACTTTTCAACTGGGAAAGACTACGCTGTTAGCATCTGGTGTCCCCACGGTGGTAGGTATCGATAGCGAGGCACAGAGTAAATATGTTAAAATTCACGTCATGTTCAGCCATCCTAAGGATGACTACTCCTCAGGGATCTAGTAACTGGAATTTCTCGTTCGTGTGGAAAAAGTTGTCAAAGAAAAAAGTTTTCTATACAAGTACAACAAGATATGGAATAAAAAAATAATCGCATTTGAATTAAACATGTGTCTAGGTATTTCCGCCTCATCTTCCTCATTGAAACTCTTGCAAATGGCGTCCTCCAAAATCTTAAGCCTCAGAGTATGAGCCCAATGGGATAGKGTCCAGTTAGAAAGCATATGATTGAGTGCACAACACACATCTTGACTAGCTTTTAGCTCGCAGTCTGCTAGCTCAAGGTCTGTAAAGCAGCTCTTCTATAGGAATGGGTCAATACCTCCCTAAAAGAAGACGCACTTTGAAGAAGTATGTCTATATGCCTTGGTAGCTGCCACTTCTGCTTGAAAAACACTAAAGT